GGGGGGGGTGGGGGGCAATTGACTCACGGGTGTGCCTTGGGCCCGTTCAAACACTTCCTTGAGAGAGGCAGGAAGCTTTGGTTGGGAAATAGCCTTGAGGACGGCAGCGGCAGCTTCTTCAAAATTCTCCTCCCCGCCCTCCGGGTTGCTCGTCCTCATTCCTGCTAATACCATTTTCCTGAAGGCGCGCTTCTCATCCGGTGTAGAAGGGCTCCTACTGTCATTGTGGTCCCTCCATGCCTTCAGGTAATAAAAGAGGATGGCAATAAACGGTAAATGGCCATGTTCGTAGTCGTCGAGTCCATCCACGTCACTCGTAAGATCCTGGCAGAATTCAACGAGCTCCGGCCATGGGTTTAGAAGCCGAAGGTCGTTTATAGCATTCTCATCCGGGTGCGTATCTACGATTGGGAAGATACCCGGGAGCCTCACTTGGAAATACGAGTAAAATCCAGATGAATGAATTGAGATGACGGGAATCTTGTGGGTCTCCGCATATGAATCGACTAAGGCGAGGTGGTCTGCCCTAATTGGGAAAGTGTAGATGATGGCGGTGAAGGACACGGGTGAAGCGAGAACTGCAGCAAGGTCGACACCTGTCTGAGATATACCTGTAAGGCATAGCTTTTTGCTTCCGGTGATGACAGCAGGTCGTGGGTTTGATTTGGGATACCAGTCACCCTCGACCTCGGGATTCAGTTCCAACAGCCGCTCTGCACAGGATTCGGCGCGCAGATGCCCAAGGCAATTCTCATCAAGGAAAAAATTGGAACCAAGATCAGCCTCCGAGACTAGAGCCTCATCAACAATGGTGAAGCGACCGATACCTGAGAAGAATAGTTAGCATAGGAGATTGAGAACTGGGGGTATTTGTGGTATGGACCTGGAAGCACGAGGTTTTTCAATGTCTCTACACCTACAGCCCCAGAGCCAGAGTTAAGGAGAAGGATATGGGAAGATTCAAGTGCATCCTGGCCGCTGGATGCCCAAAGCCTAAGTTGGCGGTCATATTTTCTCTCCTTCTCTGATAGTCCCTGGGGTTGCTCGGCCGAACCTCTCATTTGGGCACCACTCATTTTCTCAGTTAAGAGAAGGTTATGAATTATAATTAATTGTATAATCTGAGTTGGTTGTAGCTGGCTTCTATGACGCTTGGTGGTTGCCGGCTGGATGCAGGACGACTAAAAGGAGGCCTGGGGTAAGCTGCTGACTGAAAGTGGAGAAGAACCTCAAAGAAAGAACAAACACAATGCACATATCAATTGATCAAACAGCAAGGCTCCTTCCCACTGGAATGGCACAGTGCCTTAGTACACATTGATTAAGGCTACATGAGGAGTAATTTGACCTCTTAGGGAAGTAATAAGTGCTAAGGAAGGTCATTTAAACCCAGACTACATCGTAGCTATTATAATGTAACTGAGTACAAAGTAATAATTGTATAAATGCTGTTGGTTATATTTTATAAAATGACTTGTAAGGCTAGAAAATCCTCAAAATTGACTGCGATCTGAGAACTATTCCTTCATGCTGCCTTTCTACCAAGGAAGTGGATGGCGACGAGGTCCTTCTCTCAAAGCTGATCCGAGTCTTGTTTTGGAGGCCCGTGAATTTGCAAGTGTGGCCTTGGTACCTCATCTTTTTACATGCTGGTCATGTCCGTCATTCCGACCGGCGATGCAGGATGCCAGCACCAGCCTAGCGAGAGGGTAGAGAATAGGGGCGTTAGAATAGTACGAGTGACATAGGTATTGTGGGAAGAGCGGTGTTGGAAGTAAATGGCTTGCTTGGGGATTGAGATAATTACTTACCTGATGATTCGGGAATACAAGGGTGTCCGCAATCACGACGTTTTCCTTCCGCGACGCAGCGAAAACAATGACTTCGGCGATGTCATCTGGAGTAAGGGGATCGCAGCCGCTTTTAATGAAGGTGGTAGGTAGTCCCGGGCGTCAGTTCAGCGCTGTGTTAATTTCGGGAAGCGTAGATCGACTCACGCGTAGACAGCGTCCGCTTTGGCCTTATCACCATAAAACCTCACAACCGAAAACTCCTAGTACCCTCGAGTTATTCTGGATTTCTCGCAAATGTTACGCCGGCTAAAAACCTACAGTCTCCACCTGACCTGGATCAACCTCGATTACCCTAATCCGGGTCGAAATGAGTTCTTTCCTCAAGCTTTCGGTGAAGCTCTTCACAGCTGCTTTAGTAGCGCAGTATATCGACCCCCCGGCATATGGTTCACGCCCTATCGCAGTTGATCTGGTTAGTTTTGCACTTCAAAACTGGGCTGGAGTCATGACGGTTTTCTGGTATACCGGCAATGGAGCCAACGTTGATTATATCACCGGAACCGCCATTGGCCCGTTTCCGAAATATGGGAAGCACGGCCTGGGTCATATTGATCAGCCCAGTAACGTTTGTAGCCATCATGATGCCGATATCTTCCTCCGCAATGTCTGGTGCGCGGGCGACCCCTTTGACGAGACCACTGTTCTCTCTGTTAACAGCAAATTCTAGAGCGGGGGCGGGGTACGAAACCCTACGCATTGTTGACCAAGACATCGATATCTCTGAATTCCTCAGGAAGGTTAGGCACAAACTGCCGGATATCCTCGCTGCTGCTCACGTCTAGTCTGACGGGCAGAATCTTGACGGCATCTCCAACTTCGCTGGTGATCTCCTTGGCGATATCCTGGAGCGTGTCAACACGACGAGCGGCGAGGACTAATTTGAGCCCTTGAGGACAGGCCCGGGCGAATTCGAAAGCCGTGCTTCGCCCAATGCCACTCGAAGCACCTGTAATCACAATAGTCTTACCAAGAAGGCGACTGGAACCCGGGTATGTTGACATCGCGCGAGAGGGAGAACGAGTGAATCTGGCGACGCTTGCTAGATGGAGGGACTTGCCGAGCGGTTGACTACGGGAAAGAAGCCGAGCCACGAAGTACATGTAGACTGGCTCGAAAACTGTAGAGTTCGCTTGGACGAAGCTTCGGTATGCCGTCGATCGAGGGAGGAGTATGTATAGGTCAATGACGTGATTGTTGAGCCGAAAGAATATTGATCACTTCCTCACTATTATTGCTCAATTCAAACTACACTAAAACCGGACATGGTAGATTAATAATGCACAAGGACAAAATGAGTCCTATCGATTGATCTGATGAACGACTTCGCAATGGACTGCAAACTGATGACAGAAAGCCCTCTTGGCAACAATGACAATGAAGGAAAGACACGAAGTTGCCATTAGCGAGAGACCTTTTACCTCCCCGCTCTCGATGCCATGCACTCTATACCGAATAGGGTTTCACTTTCGAGCTGGCATTTCTCCGAGATACGGGATCAGACAGGCACTAGAGGAAGTAGGCCAGGAGGTTAACCCCTGTTATTTATTTTTCGCCTGTTTTTTATTTTCTCTCGTAATTTCTACATATATATAGGCCCTTTAGAAAGCTATACATAGGTAAACTATCTACTCTAGAACTATCCTAATTTCTTTTCCTTTTAAAAAAAGGGAACAAGAACCCCCCCCCCCC